ACTCCTTCACCAGTTACTATTAATATTGCTCTTTTAAATGTTCGTTCTCTGCTGAACAAAACGTTTTTAATAAATGACCTGATTTTAGATTGTAATCTTCACTGTCTGCTTTTAACAGAAACATGGCTGAGTTCAGATGCACCTGTTTTCACAGAGGTCTCTCCACCAGATTTTAATTTTAATTTTTCAATGAGGAGTAGCAAAAGGGGAGGCAGTATTGCTTTTATTAGTTCATCAATACTTTCTGCCAAACCTGTTTTATTTGATCGTTTTACCACTTTTGAATATACAGCAGCAGTTTTTAGCTCTCCTCAGATTTTATCGGTCTCCTAAGCAGAGTGCCATTTTTATTCAACAATTTTAAGAGTTTTTATCAATCCCGCACAACTCCTTTGAAAGGATCATTTTAGCCGGTGATTTTAATCTACATATAGATAATCCTTCTGATCCTTTTTCAAAGGAGTTTTTAAATATTCTGAGTTATATGGATTTTAGTCAACATGTCACACAGCCAACTCACAACAGAGGACACACCCTGGACTTGGTCATCACGTATGGCCTGTCCACCAGTGTGTCCTCTGTTATTGATTTGGCTGTCTCTGATCACTACTGTGTATTTTTTAGCATCACCAGTTTTATCCAGCTGGAACCCTCTGTGAGAACTGTAAGGAAGCGTCATCTCACCCCTGAAGTGGCTGCAGGTTTTCTTGAAGTCTTTAGAAAGATCCCTCCCACTCCGGTAACTGCCTCTTGTGATTTTACTGTCAATGATTTTAGCAGTAGACTGAAATCCGCTCTCGACCTGCTCGCTCCACTTAAAATCAAAAGTCTATATTCAAAACTTGCTTCATCGTGGAGAAATGAACATCTAAACAAACTAAAGAGAAATTGCAGGTTTGCAGAGCAGAGATGGAGAAAGAACAAAGCAACTATAAATCATCAAATATATACAGAGCTACTTAAATCATATAATAACGCATTGAGAAGTTCAACAAATGCATACCTTTCCAAACTCATTCTAGACAAACACAATCCCAGAATACTTTTTTTCCACCATAAACAACATTTTATACCGTACATCCAATTCACTTCAGAAAACATGCTCAAATGCACTCTGTGAGGAGTTTGCAGCCCACTTCAAAGGGAAGGTAGACACCATCAGACGGAATATTTTATCCTCCATAAGTAATAAGGTCTTAGATAGATCTGGATGTGTGTCTACAGGTGCTGGCCAGTAAATTAGAATATCATCAAAAGGTTGAAAATATTTCAGTAATTCCATTCAAAACGTGAAACTTGTACATTATATTCATGCAATGCACACAGACCAATGTATTTCCGATGTTTATTACATTTAAATTTGATATTTATAGGTGACAACCAATGAAAACATCAAATCTGGTATCTCAGAAAATTAGAATATTCTAAAGGCCAATGAAAAAATGTTTGTTTCTCTAATGTTGGCCAACTGAAAAGAATGAACATGAAAAGAATGTGCATGTATAGCACTCAATACTTAGTCGGGGCTCCTTTTGCCTCAATAACTGCAGTAATGCGGCGTGGCATGGACTCGATCAGTCTGTGGCACTGCTCAGGTGTTATGAGAGCCCAGGCTGCTCTGATAGTCGTCTTCAGCTCCTCTGCATTGTTGGGTCTAGCGTATTGCATCCTCCGCTTCACAATACCCCATAGATTTTCTATGGGGTTAAGGTCAGGCGAGTTTGCTGGCCAATCAAGGACAGGGATACCATGGTCCTTGAACCAGGTGCTGGTGGTTTTGGCACTGTGTGCAGGTGCCAAGTCCTGTTGAAAGGTGAAGTCTGCATCCCCATAAAGTTGGTCAGCAGCAGGAAGCATGAAGTGCTCTAAAACTTCCTGGTAGACGGCTGCATTGACCCTGGACCTCAGGAAACAGAGTGGGCCAACACCGGCAGATGACATGGCACCCCACACCATCACTGACGGTGGAAACTTTACACTGGACCTCATGCAACGTGGATTCTGTGCTTCTCCGCTCTTCCTCCAGACTCTGGGTCCTTGATTTCCAAAGGAAATGCAGAACTTGCTTTCATCAGAAAACATAACTTTGGACCACTCAGCATCAGTCCAGTCCTTTTTGTCCTTGGCCCAGGCGAGACGCTTCTTGCGCTGTTTCTTGTTCAAGAGTGGCTTGACACACGGAATGCGACACCTGAATCCCATGTCTTTCATGAGTCTCCTCGTGGTGGTTCTTGAAGCGCTGACTCCAGCTGCAGTCCACTCTTTGTGGATCTCCCCCACATTTTTGAATGGGTTTGTCGTCACAATTCTCTGCAGGGTGCGGTTATCCCTAGAGCTTGTACACTTTTTTCTACCACATTTTTTCCGTCCCTTCGCCTGTCTGTTAATGTGCTTGGACACAGAGCTCTGCGAACAGCCAGCTTCTTTAGCAATCACCTTTTGTGTCTTGCCCTCCTTGTGCAAGGTGTCAATGATTGTCTTTTGGACAGCTGTTAAGTCAGAAGTCTTCCCCATGATTGTGGTGCCTTCAAAACAAGACTGAGGGACCTTTTAAAGGCCTTTGCAGGTGTTTTGAGTAAATCAGCTGATTAGAGTGGCAGCAGGTGTCTTCTATATTCAGCCTTTTCAGAATATTCTAATTTTTTGAGATACCAAATTTGGAGTTTTCATTAGTTGTCACTTATGAATATCAAATTTAAATGTAATGAACATTGGAAATACATTGGTCTGTGTGCATTGCATGAATATAATGTACATGTTTCACGTTTTGAATGGAATTACTGAAATATTTTCAACCTTTTGATGATATTCTAATTTACTGGCCAGCACCTGTATACCAGAGGAAACACTGGACAGCTTTGTCCTGGTAGAAGCTGAGACTCAATAAAGTTTTCTCCTCAGTGAGACCCACCACATGTGTTCTGGACCCAATTCCAACTTCGTTCTTTAAACAATTTTATGGATCTTTTAGTGATGAGATTTTAACCCTGATGAATTGCTCCCTTCAGATGGGGGTCTTTCCTGCTGCCTTTAAAAGGGCGGTGGTGAGGCCCCTGTTGAAGAAGAGCAATTTAGATTTTAATGAATTAAACAATTATCGACCGGTATCCAACTTACCATTTTTAATCAAAATTTTAGAAAAGTTGGTTTTAAATCAACTAAATGATTTTATAAACACTAATAATGTCCTAGAGAAATTTCATTCTGGTTTTAGGGTGAACCACAGCACCGAGACGGCCCTTCTGAAGATTTTAAATGATTTTAGAGTAAATTATGATAAACAGAAGTTGACAGTATTGGTCCTACTGGATCTAAGTGCTGCCTTCGATACAGTAGACCACACTATTCTTTTAACTCGTTTAAAACAGATCGGCCTCTCTGGTGCTGTACATAGATGGTTCACATCCTACCTCACAGACAGGACTTTCATGGTGAGTTTGGATACCTGTTCCTCTAGGGTCCATGGGATTACATGTGGTGTGCCCCAGGGTTCAATTTTAGGCCCAGTGCTTTTTAATCTTTATATGCTCCCTCTTAGCGGTGTCATCATGAGACACACGGTCAACTTTCACAGTTATGCTGATGATACACAGTTGTACATCTCCGTGTCTCCTGATGACTCTCGGCCAATGGATGCACTTTTTAACTGTATTTTAGACATAAAATCCTGGATGGCAGAGAACTTTCTCCAGCTCAACCGGGCAAAACTGAAGTTTTAGTCATTGGTCCTGAGGCCCAGAGAGAGAAGCTTTTACCGAAATTACAATCTCTGTCTTTTAATCCATCTGAACAAGGTAAGAACCTGGGTGTGATTTTTCACTCTGAGCTGACATTTATCCCACACATTAAAAATATCACAAAAATATTTTTTTATCATCTAAAGAACATCGCCAAAGTCCGCCCCATTCTCTCTCGGGCCAATACGGAGATGCTGATGCATGCTTTTATCACCAGTAGGATAGATTACTGTAATGCCCTGCTTTCTGGTCTTCCCAAAAAGAGCATCTCAGGCTTACAACTTCTACAAAATTCGGCAGCACATGTCCTGATGAAGACCAGGAGGTGGGAGCACATTACACCAGTTTTAGAATCATTTCATGGGCTCCCCGTATGTTTCAGGGTCCATTTTAAGGTTCTTCTAATGGATTTTAAGTGTCTTAACGGTCTTGGGCCTTCTTATCTCTCAGAACTGTTTTCACCATATGAACCCTCATGGCCTCTGCGCTCCTCTGGCAGGCGTCTCCTGGTCATCCCTAAAGTCAGGACACACACTCACGGCGAGGCGTCCTTCCAATGTTATGGCCCTCGCCTTTGGAACGATCTGCCAGAGGAACTCAAGGCCGTAGAGAACGTTCATGTTTTTAAGTCCAGGGTCAAGATCCACCTATTTAGGTTAGCTTTTATCTAAATATTTACTACAGTTTTATCTCTCGTTTTACATGATTATACTTTATTGCTTCCTTTGCATGTTTTATATGATTATATTTTAGCATTGTTTTCATTATTTAATATTATAATTTTACTGTCTATATGATTTTACTTATTACTTATTTTCTAACTTTTGCCCCTTATATTAGCTCTTCTATTATATTTTTACTCATTTTAATCCAGTGTTTCCTCTGTAGAGGCCCTCTGCCCCGGGAGCGGTGGTCGACTGTAGCTTCCTGGGCGCTCTATAGGAAGTGTTTAAGTGGAGGTGGGGGTCTATGCTCCCCCTCCACTGAGCGCCCTGACTTAGTGTGGAAGACCTGATGCTGCCGGGGCAGATGGCTCCTCTGATGGCGTTTCCTTGCCTTTCCTTACTTGGCTCATCTGGACTCAGCCAAATATAATTTTTACTTGTGTGTGTGTGTGCGTGCGTGTGTGTGCTTGCATATGTCTGTTAATGTTTTTAACCTGTTATGGGAATCTGGGGTCATTTTGTAAAGCACTTTGAGTAGCACTTTGTTTGAAAAGCGCTTCATAAATAAATCTGATTGATTGATTGATTGATTGATTGATTGACTTCACATAGCACATATAGTGCTAGGTTTATTTTTGTTTGTTGTTTTGCATCGACGTCTATCCGTGTGTGTTTACTTTGAAGTGCCCTGTGTCTGCTCTTCTTCTCTTCTGAGTTTCACCATTGGTCTTTGCTTCCTGGGAGGACCTCTCTACTCCATTGCCTGATTCGCCTGCCTGCTGCCTGAGGGTCCGGTTCGTTTGGGTCTGGACATCCTATGGTTCCTGCCGTGGTTGCGGGAGCTCTCCGGTTAGCCTGAGGCCTGGTCCTGTCCCTACTCTTCAGCACGCTGTGTGGGATCACAGTGCTCATTTATCGTTTTTGAAATATTAACTTCAAGGACTTACCAGTGACAAGATTTTATGACTAATAATCACTAAATATTGCCATGTATAAATGATTAAATGTTTTATGAATCTGTTTCAATGATACTGTTTACTGGATTAGGTCATCACACTTGCAGACAGAGTAAGGCTAAGATAAAGACATGACACATAAGTAACCTTGTCCCACATTTCAGAGTTCGGAATCAGAGACTGTGTTCTGAGATGCTTGGCAACTTCTGAGATAACACCAGGCCTTAAAAAGAGCTTCACTCTCAGTCTCAGAAAGTCAGACAGACAGAGAGAGAGAAGCTCAGAACGGCCATCTGAGCAAGCCTCTTTCACCAGAAGGATTTTGACATAGTCAAAACCTTAAGCTTTTGCGCCTGCGAAGCTGAGGACAAGATATTTTTCCTGCAGAACAAAGCTGATTTTACGACACTCCTTCAGAGTTGTTTTGAGACGCTTGGTTCCATCTAGTTCACCTGTTACCTGGAAGCGGTCCTGGACTGACCTGGTCGTACTAGGAGTTAGTCAACGGACTTCTGTACTCGGGGTCTCCAACCCCCCCTGACATTTCAGACCCGCAAGGGCGCCTCCACTTGGGTACGTAGAACACAGTGAGATAGCGTCTGTATGCAGTTTGATAAATAACAGCTTGCAGCTTACTTGCAAACCAAATTTCCTCCATCCAGGATTCAGCTTTCTCATGATACCGACTACCGACTCTGAAATTGTATATTCACACCTAGTTCCAGACACCCATCTCTTAGTTCGCATCCACTCACAGTAAATAATAGTTTAAACCATTTGTCAAGTCTTAAATTGTTTGTAAAATAAATTATTTGGTTACAAACCCTGATTCGTTCTTGAATCATAAACGAAGTGATGACAGTCCCTGAATAAACAAAGAATCTTAGAATCTTCTGCCTAATCATCTTAAAGACCAAGCAGGTGACATTCTATAATTAATAGATTATCACAGCTATGGGTCACAAGTAATGACAATAAAAATAAATAGCTCTTAAGCAATTTATTTAATTCAATTTACCCTCTTATTGACTTCATTACACTAAATAAGGAACCCAGCAGGTTGCATCGAGTCACTGACTAGTGTCAGAGTCTTTACAGCAATCCTCATACTAAGCAAGCATGCAGCGACTGGAGAGAAAAACTCCCTTTTAACAGGAAGAAACCTCCAGAGGATCCTGGCTCAGTATAAGCAGCCATTCGCCACGACTCACTGCGGATGGAGAAGAGAGCACGCACACACACGCACACACACACACACACACACACACACACACACGCACACACACACACACACACACACACACACACACACACACACACACACACACACACACACACACACACACACACACACACACACACACGCACGCACGCACACAGGAGAGCCTTGGGATTCCCCTGGAGGAGCTGGCCCAAGTGGCTGGGGAGAGGGAAGTCTGGGCCTCTGGGCTTAGGCTGCTATCCCCGCGACCCAACTTCAGATAAGCGGTTGAAAATGGATGAATGGATGGATAAACCCTGTTTAGTTTATGTGCAGTAATTCATTCAACCCTTCAGCTTCCGATGAACAAATTTTCACTTGTGCCAAAACAAAACCAAAACTGCCCGACTCTCACCCCCAAGTCTCTAAAACAGATGATTCGTGAGGAGCCCTGAACGTCTCTGCCGTAAATTACCACTAAGCTTCATTAGAGTGCAAATCTATGTCATCTAACAGTTACATTTCTCACTAGACAAATCAGAAATTATCCATCTGAACGATTTTTAGTTTGCAAAAATGATTGTGTTATTAGAGGAAAACAATAAAAGTCAGATGGAGCAGCCTCTGAGCCAGAAAAAGCTTCAGATCAGCAACAGCAGACATGTTTATGCTTCCATAAAAACACCCAGAGGTGGTGGAGATCCTGCTGCTCTCACAATGCACCCTTTTGTCTGAAGCTAACTACGTACAGTGAGGGTTACGTTGGTGTAAATTATTTCCTCACAATTCATCAGTTTTCTGGTGGCCTTGATGACAGAATACCACTTTAACCTGTGCTTAAATAGAAACCACACTGGATTAGATTACTTCACAAAAACTTAGTTTTATAGTAAAAATATCTGAATCTGCAGATTGTTTTTTTTTTGCTTTTCAGAAGTAAAGGGTTTTATTAGTGCCTTTACGTTTCCATGGTAACTGACACACCTGCAAAGAGCAAGATGTTTCCAGATGTTCAAACAACAATCATTACACAAATGCTTGTCCCCTGGAGTAGAGCATGACAGCTTTTTTAGTTCTTAAACACAAATCTGCCCATCATAAAGCCTCTACAGCCTTTATCTGGTCTGTTTGAAGCCAAATCATAATAAATGATCTGATTACATAGCAGGTGTGTGTGTGTGTGTGTGTGTGTTGAATAAAGTAAAAATAGTGAGATCAGCAGCATCCCTCACCTTAAAGATGACACTTGGTCCTAATCCTGCAGACGGCTCACCAACTCTCTTTCTGCATCTTTTACCTGTAAAACAGACAGAACACAGGTACGTTTGCGGAATTTACCTGGTTTTTCTCCCCAGATTGATGCAACGGTGTTCCAACTACAGCCTGAAAGAGGATGGCTTTAGCTCAAATCTTTTGGTAACTAGAGAACAAATTTAAAAGGAGTTTTAAACGTTTCTGTTTGAAACTATTACTACTGTAACTAAATTTTTACATCCTACAGGACTAATGAGCTAACGGTTAGTCTGAGTACATCTAGGACCACAGTGTGTGAGACCATCTTCACACCAGTTCTTTATAAATGAAACACCCGTTTCACTGACACACTCATTCACAAGCATGAACATCACCAGATTTGGGGTCAAAATAAACAGGATTTTCCTTGAGAAACTTGTGAGTGAGTGGAGCTGTTTTAAAGCCCAGGGGCCTCATTTATCAAGCTTGCTTACACACAAAATGGGGTCAGAAAACCCCAGTTTGCAACTTTCCACGCAAACTTTGGGAAAAATGTGCGCAACTTTAACCCTCTGATGCATGAATTATGAGATCTTCAACCATGATTTTTTTAAACATTTTTTTTCATTCATCTTTAGGTGTGAATTAAACAAATTTCAACAAATATTCTTTGTAACATTTTGTTAATTTACAAATACTTTATTACATGTCCATCTCAGTGGACAGCGTGCATTCTGAACATGAAATATGTTGGCTTGCCTTACTGAAGTCCAACTGGAGAGGCTCACATGCAATAAAGTCTTCAACAGCTGTGCTTAATAGCAAAAATAAATAAATAACTATTTTGAGTACCTGTCCACTGTAGTGACCATTATGCATCAAAGGGTTATGTTGACTAAGGACCTTGCTAATGCACATTTTGGACATGGAGAGCACCTGCAGTGCTGCTGCTGAGAAGGATAAAATTATGAAATCCTGCAACATTATCACTTGTACTGCTTCGTTTTCACACAGAACAAGACCCCCCACACGCACACGCACACACACACACACACACACACACACACACACACACACACACACACACACACACACACACACACACACACACACACACACACAGCCTGAAGCGCAGAATACAGAATACGGACAGGGGGACAGATTGAGACAGAATGTCATGCGTCTGTGACAGTGTGTGTCCTGTCACTGTGACTCGATTGATCATGCGCTCTGGCTACTTGGACAAGGGAGATCTCTGTTTGGGTGACTGGTTAGCTCGCGTGACTTTCACGGGGGAGTCTGGGGATCAAATCCTGATTGGTTAACTTTTTTTAAATATCCGCCACAGATCTCAACGAAGAACTCAGCATTGACGGCTTCAGCAACGCTGTGCCACTCCGTGGATTTTCTCTGATTTGTTTTGCAAAAGCACTTCCTTTCATTTCTCCACCTCACTCACAAGTACCTCAATTTCTGCTTGTGAAATTGGGCCTCCTTGATCTGCCTTGATCTACGGTCATGATCAAAATGCTGCAACAAGCCGGCTTACCGCTTATGTATATGCATGAGGTCCACAAGGCACTTTGCATCGACCATTTATGGCAGAAAGTAGGCGTGTTGAGGGCGGGATGTGACTAAAAAGCAGCTGAGAACCTTTCTAGATAGTTTCTGATTTATGAAGCGGAGGTGCGTGACGCTGTGCGTACTCCATATTTGATAGATCACAAACATACTTGGTGTAAGTACATTTTTTTTGCTGAGCTTAAGTACGGTTTTAATAAGGATTCTACGCAATGTTTGATAAATGAGACCCCTGGACACACTGTGCTTTTTTCAGCCATCCTAGACAGAACGTGAGGATGATCTGCAGGTCTGTGACCGGCCCAGCTTATTGAGTACTCTCACTATCAAATCCAACATCCAACAGTATTCAAGCGTGATGTGCTTTTTGGTGAGTACGTTCATGACTTTAGCGTTAGAGGTGGGAATCGAAAACTGGTTCTTGTTAAGAACTAGTTTCCATTGTTTCAATTCCTAGGAATTGTTCGCCACCTTTGCAAATGATTACCATTATCAATTCCAGTTTGCGCACATGACGTCACCATGCACGTTGTATTGCTAGCGGAAGCAAGAAACATGGCGTCTAAATGGTAGATATTTCTTCAAGGGGAGGAAATACATACGGATATGTAAAAGCATCTGGGCAAAAAATATGCGATAACGTAAAGTTAGTCATGTTTTTGACCCGCTCCAGACTAATGAATTTCAATGTCAGTTATAATGCAGGAGGTAGTGTGAAATTTGTTTTTTGCCACCCACTCAAATACTGGAATTGATAATGAAATGTATCAATAGACAGAATCGACAGTGGCACTGATATTGATAAAACATATCAATTCCCGTCCCGTTAGTGTTTCCTGCTAGAGCGAGACATCGTGCAGTTTGGCTCATTAAGATCTTTAGGTACCACCTCTCTATTAGGATTTTTAGAAAGCACGACTCAGCATGACTCGGGTGCGGTTTCGTCTGGGCACTTTTTCCAACAGCACGGTTCAGTATTTTCTCCTACTTTCCGATCCCTGCTCCATTGTGGTTCCAGCGGCTGAGCCGTGCCTGCTTCACGACTGTCATTGGTGATTGGCTAGGGGGCGGAGTCAATGGTTGCTCTGAATCTTTTGGCTGTAGCCTGCAGCCACTTCCTGGTTCAGAGTCTGACAAAAAGCCAGCATAAGGTTCAACAACCCAAACACAATTTTTGCACTGAGTTGTTTGTGTTTAGCATAGGGAGCCTAAGTCACATGCATTTACTTCTGAACCACGAGTCCCCGGAAGAAGAAAAAAATTTATGCAAGCCATTGGGGCTAAAAACAGTATTTTCTAATCCCGCTTGTTATGTGCCATGGATTTCACATATGATGTCTGTGAATGTTAAAGATGCATTTCGATACGGAACTAAAGTTAATTTAGGTTATGTGTGAAAATACGCCCAGGACCACGAATCATTAAATGAATGTCATCGCACCAGCCGTGGTGAAAAGCAGAGGAAAAATGGCTGTAAGCTTAGCAAACTTCAAATCATTCCATCAGGAGGGAAGAATCTCCATAAATCTGCCCATGTGGTAAGTAGCAGCTACGCTAGGGGAAAGGAAATTATGTGGTGACGTCATATATGCAACATTCTGATGTCTGATTTGTAGTCACGCTAATTATGAACTTTTACAAGCTGATAAATCTCAAAGTACGTGACTGGCGTGGTCAAAACACACATTACTTTTCATTTAAGTGGAAGTGCAATGCATGTGCAATCCAGGGCATAAGGCAAAGCGGATTAGAAAATAGCTCTTTTAGCCCCTTGAGACTTGAGCCAATTTTATTCTTCCGGGGACCCATGAGCCTACGGGAAAGGGAGGAGTCTTAGGCTGCCTATAGAGATCAGCTCATGCTATTTTTGTCTCGAGTAGACACCTCCCCCAGACACACTATGAGGGGTGCAGGCACTTTCTGTCACAGAGTCATTGGGGAAAACCAGCTACTCTTAGCTAAGTTAACCCATGCTGTACTGAGCTTTTTTAGGCTGAGTGGTGCTGTTGGACAAGGCCTGTAAAATTCTAATGATGTGACATGAAGCTGATTTTTGTGACAGCCAAATAAAATGCACAGAGCGCGGCCTTGGCTTAAGATTGTAACATCACAGTTTGGTGTCTGCTGCACTCAGACTAGCCATTAGCTCATCGATCATCTCAGTTCTAACAGAGGCTCTTCAGGAAGCCATCTACAAGAGGTAAGACAGTCATTCATTTAAAACTTTCAGACAAAAATGCCTAAACCTTTTTAAGTTTGTAAAACTCATCTACTATTAATATCAAGAATAAAAACGGTAGGCTGTGGTGTTTTACAAGAGTAAAAAGCAACTAATTTTTATCCTTTCAATGAAAATTGAAAACAGAGGCTTTCCAATAAACAGAAAAGTTCTCTAAACAAACCAACCATACCAAAAACATTTCCGTTGACCCGTTTAGCACAAATGTAGAACAAACCGGTTCAAGGATCCTTTCAGGTGTTCTGTTGAATAAGAACTAATTCTGGACACCGACACCAAACGATAACATGCCTCTAAATCCCAAATGGATCCACTCAAGATGTGAAACATCAGTCAGATCAAGCTGAATTAAATCCTAAAGCAGGTTTAGCCAGCAGCCACCAGCAGGGGGCAGTGGTAGCCCGCGTTAGCCAGCAGCTGAGGGTTGTCGGTGATTTGTTTGTCCTGCTGAATGAATTTGCAGCGTGTCGTTAAAGCAGCAGCCATGCAGAGAGGAACAGTTTTTCTATCACCAGCTCTGGTGAGGCTGCTCTGAGATCAGCTAGCTCCTCTCTGTCTGTCCTCGTTTCTGCTCGCCTCGTGCATCACAATCTCTCATTTTAAACTGCCGGCGTCATGCTGATGGAGTCGTCAAGCTGCTCATAAACATCTGAAGCTTATTCATGATTACCAGTGACAGAGAGAGAGGATCCATTGTGATGAAGCTTAGTTTCTGCAGCAGAGGATTTAAATGTCCTGCAGAAGTAAATTACCTGGTTCAGATTATGAGCTGTTCTGTGTCCCAACATCATCAGAGATGAAAAAGCTTTCACTAGAACAACAATCAACACCTGCAGACCAGAACAACCTTCAGGAGAGGGGATCCAGCTCGCATTACTAAAGTTTTGCCTATTGTTTAGATGCTGTTTCTCTGAACCGAGAAAAGCTCCCTGGATGAAATGTCTTCAAAAGAAATGACTGAGTCCAGTCACCTTTAACTGCGGTCTAACTAAACAGATGTCAAGTAGCAGATACCATTTCAAAGTGGTCATTAACTCTTCCTGAGCTGGATTAAATCCGACTGCATCTGATTGTGCAGAATTTAGGGATCCAATCACGTGATTGGAAATCGGTCCTGATCACATGATATTCAAAGTCAAGTCAAATTTATATAGCACAGCCTGACAGCCGGACAAAGAGCTGAATGAGAGCATCTAATAAGACAGAACAGCAAGACTAAAAGCATAACGGACAAATAATTAAAC